GTGCGTGCGTGCGTGTGTGTGCGTGCGTGCGCGCGCGCGTGTGTGTGCGTGTGGTCCAGGTATTTCCTACGTTGTTGGGACAAATTTCAGTTCCGGTTTGGGGGATAGAATATAAAGTTTGTACAGTATAGAAATCATTATGTCTTTGGAGAGTCCTCATAAACCATGTGTGTGTGTGTGTGTGTGTGTTCTTCAGTTACTCGGTGACCGTGCAGGAGTCGTATGCTCACCCGTTCGATCAGATTTACTACACCAGCTGCTCAGACATCCTCAACTGGTTCAAATGCACTCAGCACAGGTGTGTGCGCTTTACAATGCTTTTAAAAAAAATGTTTACTAAGGTTTTATGGAAGCCTTTTTCATATTTTGTATCAAATTCAGGCATAAAAGAATATTGAATAACCTGTACCTGTGGTTTTTCGGCTGTGTTGAGGGTGAGCTACAGAACGGCTTACCGCAGAGGAGAGAAGACCATGCACCGCCGCAAGTCTCAGTGCTGCCCGGGATTCTACCAGAGCAGAGACAGATGTGTTCGTGAGTGTTACTACAGCTGTGCTAATACTGTAAACCCACAAACTGATGATGGATGGCTGGATGGATAGATAGATAGATAGATAGATAGATAGAAGACACTTTCATTGGGTCTGAAAGACTCTTTTGTCTTTATAGCGACTGTAATCACATGCTGTCTCTCCACATCACTGAGCTACTGTTCAGCTCAGGCAAACTTTAACTTTCTACTGTGATTCATGATATCTTCTTCTGACACAACCTCAAAAGTCCTCAAAAGATATTTGATGCTAAATGTACGGTTGTGAAGAGCAGGATTCAGGGCCGGTGTGATTTCACAGTGGACGGGGTCTGTGTGTGTGACGGGGTTTTCTGTGTTTATTGAAGGCCTGTAATCTGAGCAGACTCTCTCTTGTTCTGTCTGTAGCCCACTGTGCTGAGAAGTGTGTGCACGGCCTCTGCGTGGCCCCCAGCAGCTGTCAGTGTGAGCCGGGCTGGGGAGGGCCCGACTGCTCCAGCGGTGAGTGCTACAGCTGTGCCCGTCTGTCTCTCTCTCTATCCCTCCGCCTCCCTTCTCCTCCCTCATCTCCTTCATTTCTCCTTCACACCGTGCAATCAAAGGGGGGTTGAACTCGGAGGCTCGGAGCCTCCTTCGAGGACAGCAAGCCAAGTTGGTTTGCCATTATCTAGCAGGACTGAATGGGCAGGCGAACTCGTGAACTTTCAGTAAAAGTGTGTTTGCAAAGCTGTGACTGGTTCATAGAAGAATCCACAGCGAAATGTGAAACGTAAAGAACAAATAATCCTGCCACTTCATTGAATGTAAGCCAAAGGTTAGAATCCTTCAGACGTTTAGCAGAGACAAGATCGAGCGTTGATGTGTGTCTGTGACTGATTTGTTCATCTCTATTACATAATAAAGAGGAGGAAGCTGAAAAGCTGTTTAAAAGCTGTTTTTGGACTAACAAGGAAGTTTTGACTTCTAAAACTTACATTAAGAATGTATAGTACAATGACTTATATGTCAAAAGATCAAGGAAAATGTGAAATCTAAAATACTGTGGTGGTTTAATATTCTTCATATTCTGATTTAATGTTGTTTAAGAGTCTACACTATGTAGAGGTCATTATATCTAAAACGTACACGTTGTTATGCTTTTACAGCTATAGAAACATAAAATATTTATATTTACATTTTTGCCATTTTATAGATATAGTTTAGATCCCTTAAACCTGTCCCCAAACCTAAAAATAACCACTTTTCAACAGTGTAAAAATTTTACAGACTGAAAAATATACCGTGACAATAATTGTTTTGTTGTTACAATATTAGATTAGATTAGATTAAACTTTATTGTCATTGTGCAGAGTACAAGAACAGAGCCAATGAAATGCAGTTAGCATCTAACCAGAGGTGCAAATAACAATATGTATATAAATATGTATGCAATATGTCATCAGCACACAGCAAACAGAATGAATATAAAGCAATGGTTAAACCGTTACAGAAAATCGATTAGAAAAACATTTAAAAAAATGTGATTTTGAAAACATAATGTTATCTATCATAAATAAAATAGAACCAACCAATTAAATGAAATGAAATCAATATTTATAGAATAAATCAGGACTGGTAAACATTTGTTTGTATGTAGTAAATGATTTACATTTTAGATGCCGTCTATATGTCAATATTTAGTTTTAGTATCTATGCAAACGTAATTAAATGTTTGTGTGTTGGAACAACGCTTTACATAAAATACTCATTGATGAGATCACATTGGCATATGCCATAAATCATATCATAACTGTGGTTTTACTGTTCACTGTCGCTCTGACTGAAAGGATATAGTGAGACAGGAGGACAAACACAAGCCTCATCAGAGTCTCAGACTGCAGAATTTAATGTGAACATTAATAGAAATTAAAATTCTCTCTAAAGAAATACAACAAACAAATGGGAATATATCAGTTGTTGCTGTGCACACTTTTGGACTAAAAGCCTTAATAGAGTTCTTTAGTGCAGCCATGTGTTCACAAATACACAGAAGCAGACATGATTGAATGAATATGTGTCCTCTTTTTTGTGAAATAATTGTCAATTCCAGAATAAATCATGACTCGTGCACTCCTGACTCAAATTGATATATTACATTTTTACTGATCAAACAGTGGTCAACATGTATGCGGGAGTCTTAAATCTTTCAGCAAAGACCAAAAGAAGCAAACCAAGAGCTGCTTCTGTGCTGCTTCCTCTTGCTGGTGAACTCCATTTCGCTGTAGCTCTGTAGCATTGCTGTTGAAGAGCTATTGCTTGTGAAGTGGATGGACTTATTGAAGAGTTAATGAAAGTTATCATGTGCATTGTAAAGTTTAAAGTGGATCTCGTATCAAATGTCAGTAGATTTTAAAACGTGCGGTTCATTCATAAATCTGTAAGATCGGACCTCAACGCTGTGGAAACGGAAGACAGAAGACCACGAGTGCAGCACTGAACAGGGTTAGAGGATAACAAGTTTGCATTCATAGTTAGAGTAATTGCTACTAACAGTAAAGCGCTAGATCATTTCAACCCTGATACAGTAGGTTTGGAATACATATAGGCCAAGGGTAGTTATCACATAGTTTTGATGTGCCTTCATAAATCAAGACATTAAATAATCCATGGCATTTCTGTTTCAGAATGTATTTTGTGACAGCCGTGCTGCATTCAGAACGTTCTGGGGTTGAAGAATGAATAAATATCATTGCACCTCACCATATTAATCTTATATAGTCTTGTGCTTTGTACTAAGAAAAAAACAACTGTAAAATGATTTAAAAATGTCAAATGTAAAAATGATCACTGTGATTTTGTTCCAGCAACAAACTTGAAGGATTGAGCGTGACAAGCCCAATATTAATGTAAACATAATAAAATACTTATAAAGACTGTCATAGAAAATTAGCTGTTTTAGCAAAAAAAACCATCGACTTTTGTAACATCGCTCTGTTAAATGTGATATCAGAAAGATCCATGTATTACATGTAGAGGAGGAAACGCATCATGAACGAGGACACGCAAATCAACTCCTCTTGCAATGAAAATCAAACATTACAAACTTTTTGCATTACATACTAAACATAGTTCAGTCTATCAGATAACGTGAGGGATTTCAGTGTGTTGCTCATTTCATCAGTAGTACGTGAAGGCATCTTGAATGGCAGAAGTTTTTCTGGAGAATGATCTGGATGTGTTATCAGGAGTCTGGTCTTTCAGCTCTTGTTGTTCTGTCTGAATCTCTGAACACGCTCGGCTGCTCAGCATTAGTTAACCACTGCTTTTCTTAGTCCTGGTTTTATTACAGTGGATTATGGAGAAGGATTTGGCAGCACGGCTGCAGTCAGCTGTGATATGACTTTAATTCGTCTGAAGACTCATTGTATCTGGCCTTTCCGGGCCACAAGACGCCAACAAAACACCCTGTGCTGAATTAAGGCTGAAGGAAAAAAGGCCTTTTCTTCATCAAAACAAAGAGAAGGGACTGATTGGCCAGAACCACAGGAAATGACCTCAGGGCTGAGCTCATGTGATGTCAGATGTAGGCCGACATGCTCAAATAAATGTCTCTCATTCAGATTCAGATATATATATATATATATAATTCTCATGACAGCCACTGTTTAAATGTTGATGTTTCAAAAAAGAAAGTAGAAACATAATGATATCATTAATTTTGTATGCTAATCAGTTGTTCATTTTGACCTTTAATATTATAGTAATGTACAGCTGACAGGGTTACCTGTATAGTTTACCACATTAGTTGAGAGAGATTTTTTCCCTTGAGAAATATTGACATGTACATGCCATATATCCAAATGAATCAAATCAAGAATGGAGTTGAATCAAATCACAAGCTTGTGTATCGAAAATGAGTTTAAATACCCAGCTCTACCGCTTTAAATAATCAGATCGAACGCACAAACAGATTCATGCTTCATATCTAGGCAGTGATGTTCTCATTGTCTCATCATCTCAAATCAGACACTAGGAGACGTCCCCTGAAAACTGTGGTCTGTGGTGTTGTTGATGCTCATCTGCTGAACGCATGCTTCAAACACTTGGTGATCGAAGCTTTGATCCGAAAGTATTTGAGACATTCGGTTAAGGCATGAAGGTTTTTACATTCCAGCAAATGAAAGGAATGTTTCTTGGACTTTCGACTGCTGTGCAGCGTGAGCTGGTAATGGATGAGCGGCACAGAGGATGCTAAACAGAGTGAATATGGACAGACTTCATGTCTGCTCAGTGAACCGGGTCACGTTTCTCTAAAGCACTCTGGGTAGTTTTAGCTCTTATTAGCCCGAAGAAACATTATGGAGGTTTCAATGAGGTCATGTGGAAGACATCCAGAAGCACAGTCTGACGTATAGAAGATGAAACACTGATATATTGATGTCAAAGTCACACAGAGATGATTGATTACTGTTTGTCTTATTTGAACTCAAGCTTCATGGTGAATTAGGGTGATGTGAGACACCGAAGCTCTGATCACAGTAAATTAAAACAGTGCAAATAATATCTCAGACTACCCTCAGCATACTCTGGAAAAGACACTGGTTTTCCACGGTCTTAAAAAGCCTGGAAGTAATAGGGATTTTCCAGCCCTGTTGGTAAACCCGATCTTAAAACTCTCAGTTTGAAGCACAGCAGTTCTGTACTTCCTGAACCCTGATAACACACCATCATACACCGAATACATAACACAGCATCATACACCTGACACAATGTGTGTACAATATACTTGTGTCAGGGATCTGGAAAGAACCCAATCGCAGAGTGAGTGATAAGGGTTTATTTACAAGACAGACAGATACAAAAGGGTTAGTGAGGTGTGTAGGTGAATCAACAGCAGGAGCACAGGGAACAGAGATGAGGCAGCTAGGGAAGACCGCTGGAACAACATCAGAAATCATCTGGCAGATGAGCTGCAAGACCGGGCCGATGGGGAGGACCGAGCAAGACACCATAAAGCTGAGCTCAGACACTTGATCACCGCAGACTCTGAAGCAGACCAGGTGCCAGGCAGAAGAAACCAGCGGGCAGAAACTCTAACAAAACAAGACAGGACAAGGCTCCACAAGAACACAAATTAACTCCAAGACAGGCAGGGGCAAAGACAAATATAAAGAACTGATAAAAGATAAAAGGGAAATAATTACTAATTAACCAACACAAATAACTTGAAAATATCAACAAAAAAATGCAAACAAGAAAACAGAACTACAAGCACTAGATTAACACTGAAGCCAAACCAAAAAGTCAAGAATAAACAAAATCCAAAAAAACAAGGAGCAAGACTAAAACATAGAATTACAAGGGACTTGACAAGACTGGGGCACAAGACAAACCAGGCAAAGGAAAAGGAACAAATACTCAGCCTCAGACAGAGAATGAGACAGTGAGGGTGAGAATGACCACGATCCGGCAGGAGGAACTAGAGATGGGAGGAAAGCACACGAGGAACAGGTGAGCACAATTAGACCAACAAGGGGGTGTGGTAAAGAGGAAACAAGGAGGAGGGACTAGAGGAGCACATGGCTGACAAAAACAACAAAGACCTGTGCTGACACACAAGACAACAGACACAAGAAACAAAGACAGGACAAAAGGAGTGTCAGGGCAGAACCCCATCATGAGCCTCACGGAAAAAAAAGAGATTCCAGCGTAAAGTCGAGTCATATTTCTATTGGGCTTTATATGGTTTCTGTCAAAGCAGAAGCTCTTTCAAACCCGTGTGTGAACAATGGAGTTGATTCAGTTGCAGTAGATGAGCGTTTCTCTGCGCACTAATACACAGCTGTGGGATTATGGACTTCCTGCCGCACAGGAAGAGAGCCGGAGGACTGCAGATACTGATTACTAGATCTACTAGTTACAGAATTTGTATTCAGCACTGCAAGCAGCCTAGTAAAACCTGCGTGACACCACGACTTATCCTGGACTAAGATGGGATGAAGATAATAGATGCTTAACATCTTATCTCAATAGCCCACGGGCCTGTAAAGTCAATTGTGAAGTAAGTTAGTAAGTTAAGTTCAACAATTAAACAATTGTTTTCTGTATTTTTACTGATCATTTTATACAAATTTCTACATTCAAATTTCAATGATGACATTCTCATTCAAAAATCCCCCTCTCTGTTTTTAACAAATCACACTGATGTTACTTTAGGCTTTGGTGATCTGCTGTCTATCATCAGTCCAGCAATAATCTGTGTAGTGCCAGAAGATGCGTTATTAGAAATGCATTATGGCGTATTGTATTTTGGTGTCATATATTGCATTAGCTTTAACATTTCATAAAATAGATGAGCTGATAAACACTACAACCGTTACACTAATAATCTGCATTACTTGACAGAACAACTGCTTATTCCAGTTATTAAAATGAACACAATGACTAAACCCTGGTGTCTTGTTAGTGTTTACGGAGCAGCACTGTACCTCCACTACACTGAAACTCTGTAGATTTGCTTTACAGTGTGAAGACAGTGTTATGTTGTGTTGATCTCACACGCACACTAAAGCAGCATTTCATTCACACTGAACCAGAGACTAGAACCTGAACTTACCTCAGAACACTATGCTGCAGAAGTTTCCTTCAGGAGCTGCACATCTCACATATTACTGCTATTTGTGTGCTTAAGAACACTCTTAACCATGGCAAAATCACAGTAAAGCTCTGCCTCTCGTGGCGTTATTTTTCACACTGCAGGATTTACTGTGTGTGGTATGGAAGTGAAAAGCAGCTTTGTGTGTTTGTGCAGCATGTGACGGTGATCACTGGGGCCCGCACTGCAGCAGCCGCTGTCAGTGTAAGAACGGGGCGCTGTGTAACCCCATCAGCGGAGCCTGCATCTGTGCTCCAGGGTACCGCGGCTGGCGCTGCGAGGACCTCTGCGAACGCTACACCTACGGCAACAACTGCCAACAGAAATGCCTGTGCCAGAACAACGCCTCGTGCCACCACATCACAGGAGAGTGTGTTTGCAGCCCCGGATACACGGGAGCGTTGTAAGTTGACCCGCACGCTGCATGCGGTCAGAAACAGCAGCATGTGAGAGTCTGAAGCCTGTGTCTGGTGTCTCGTGCAGCTGTGAGGACCTGTGCCCTCCAGGGAAACATGGGCGGCAGTGTGAGGAGCGCTGTCCCTGTCAGAACGGCGGCGTGTGTCATCATGTGACTGGAGAATGCTCCTGCCCCACCGGCTGGATGGTACGCCTGTGTGAAACCTAGAAGTCTAGAAGTGATAAATATTTCAGATTCATCATGTTTGGGCATTGGCAGTGCTGTTATATTATTTTGATTGGTTTTATAACATTGTGGCAGTAGTGTGTTGGTGTTGTTTTCAGGGAATGGTGTGTGGACAGCCGTGTCCGGCAGGACGCTTTGGGAAGAACTGCTCACAGGAGTGTCAGTGTCATAATGGAGGAAGCTGTTCTCCGTCTACCGGACAGTGCGTGTGTAGCGCAGGATACACAGGAGAGAGGTCAGTACACACAGCGCGAGACAGCACACTTTAACACCTTACAGCATGGGAGTGTGTGAATGGTGATTGCAAAAATGATCACAAGCAACTTAAAAGTAGCCAACAGACCTTATTCAGGTAGATGCCATACTAATCAGCACAGAGGATCAGCTTAGGAGGGCACTGAAGAGGTGAGACTGCAGGACTTGAGTGTCTGCTCATCAGCTGAGCTTCAGTGCTGGAGACAGTCTCAGTGCTCTAGACAACATCATGTCTGGTTGCAGAGCAGTAGCAATGACCTCTCACATCATGAAGAGCACAGAGAAGCTCGGGGTTTAAAGCTGAAGACCAGGAAAGCTGCTGCAGTCATTGGGATTGATCTGGACACTGTAGGCTGCGTGAAGAGGAGAATGACCGCCAAACTACTGCCCGTCACGGTCAACGCATCCAAACCTATGAAAACGTTTTCACACGAAGCCATCGTAAGACTTCAGCCGTTTGATGAGACTACAAGCACAAAGCTCTCTGATGAACTCAAATGCTGGTTAGTCTGAGATGGTATCATATAGAGGGATTATTAAAATGTTCCTGGAGTCTCTCCAGCGCTGCATGTTTCCTGTATTGCTGGGGAGGCTTCAGGAACAACTTGAAAACCCTTGGTATGGACCAGGAGATTTCAAAGTGTGGGGCGCAAGAGCAGAGTAGGGCTGATGTCAATCAATAGAGATTATACTGTGTTGTTTACACTGAGGTATATAAATGTATCCACTGCTTAGAATGATTAAAGTTACTTCATGAGTTTGCACTTACATATAATCTTATATATTTTATTATTTGGCATGCTGTTGGAGGGGAGGGCTCCGAGCTCAGGATTTAGTCTGAACTCAGAGTACTTCCTCAGCATCCTTATGTGGGACAGTAATTATTGAGAGAGAGAAGATGGGGTGGTGGGGGGATGCTAAAAAAACTTTTGTGGGACAGAGGTGAGTTGTCTGTATATATACCTCCTGTCATGCTAATTAAGTTGATTATCTGAATGTTTCCATCTGGTGGTAACTGGTTGATTATCTGAACATGCTCCTCCCAAACTTTGTTAAAAAAACAACATGCATTAAAAGTGAAAATGAAACATCGGTGAAAGTGAAAACCGTTAGCAGACTTGATACACAACAAACCATGCAAGAGAATGGAATTCAGTATTCGTATCACAAAGGGTGAATTTGTGGCACAAGCACTTTAGAACTACAGAAGAGTGTTGATTTTCCTAATGTCACTGCAGTCAGTGTCACAACAGCATTTACTCATAAGCATATAGATGTAGAATAAGTCAATACAGCCATTTCTCCTGGTGCTTAATCCAGCAGCAGAATGCACAGCTGTAATTATAGTATGAGCGATTGAGCAGCATGTATTTAAACTGCAGAAATAGAAACACAAGTGCATTTTTATGACTTAATAAGAGCTTTGGCTTCACCAGACGTCACTCTTACCTCCGGTTTACACTGATTTCACCACACCCTGCCGGCTGGAAAATAATCGCTTAACACACACAGGGAGGAGCCCACCAGTGTGTGTGTATGTGTTTAACTAAGTGGTTAAGAGTTGAAGAGTGTGAGTCTCTGTATGCAGGAGGATATTTGTGGGACGCTGAACAGAAAAGTAGGCTTTGAATCAGCGTCTCTCATGCACTGCTGCTGGTTCAGGTTGTTGAACCCATCTGCTCTGCTAATAGTTGCGATAAGTGTGTCCTCATGACCAGTGTTGGGGAGTAACTAGTTACGTCAGAAATCTGCAGCTGGATCATGAACAATGGGTACTGATACATGATTGAGTTTGAACTTTTTAACAAAACCTGCCTTGAATGTCCCTCACTCAGAAAGCAGTCTGGAGTAAAATGATTTGCGCAGCCAGACATAAAC